CCATCCATTTGTTCATTCAACAAGCATTTATTAAGCACCCATTGCATGCTGGTGCTTGACATAAATGAAAGTATTTGATAATCCCAGAGGTAGGTTCTATTATCCCCATTTAAAATAACCCCCTTCATTGGAGGAGGGGTGCTTGGTATTCTGAGGCAGTTTTAGGTCTTTACGGATTAAGGTACCAAACTAACCCTAAGGATTTCATCCCCCTACCCCCAATATCCGGCACTATGCAGCAACGTGGGGCAGTGGCTAGGGAAGGATTTCCGTTTAAGGGGTCTAGGTTTGAATTCCAGCTCTTCGACGCTGTATATATAGCCCCTGGGCAACTTCACTGCTTTGTGCCTCCTTTTTTTCTCATTTGAAGAGTGGGACAGTAATAGTGCCCACCTCAAGCATATCAGAGAATTAAAATATTGAATTTGCTGTAAAAGGTTTTAAAAGGTTTAAAGCCCTGCCTGGCACAGTCTCAAAAAGCTTAGCTAGGGCTTCCCTGGTGGCGCAGTGGTTGAGAGTCCGCCTGCCAATGCAGGGGACACGGGTTCGCGCCCCGGTCCGGGAAGATCCCACATGCCGCGGAGCGGCTGGCCCCGTGAGCCATGGCCGCTGAGCCTGCGCGTCCGGAGCCTGTGCTCCGCAACGGGAGACGCCACAACAGTGAGAGGCCCGCGTACCACACACACAAAAAAAACAAAACACAACTTAGCTATTCCTCATGGGAACACCTGGCAAACCCCTCCACCTCCCTCAAGTCCCCCCAAGGAGCACCTACCCCAGTGGGCACCCCTCCTCTGTGAAGCCCACTCCCGACCAAGCACACTTCCCATCAGTGTTAAAGAAACATTGTGGATACATACCATGAAGTTGTTAGGAGTACAGACCATGGTGGGTTCAAATGCCAGTGCGACCAACTGGCAGCTGTCATGACTTGGTAGAGTGGCTTTACCTCTGTGCACCTCAGTTTCCCCATCTGTAAACTGGGGATAGTTGCAGCAGCTCCCTCATAAAGTTAAGAGGAGTCAAGCACTCTGCTAGATGTATAGGAGTACGCAAGGCAGAGGAGGACAAAATGAAATGCTTGTGAAGGGTTGAGCACGGTGCCTGCAGAATTATAATCGCTCAACATGTGTACACATATGTATATTACACCTTTTGTTTATAACTTCCGCATTAATTTTCTCATTTACTCCCACAAGACAGCCCTGGAGGAAAGGCAGGGCAGAGATTTTATGCCATTTTTACTGATGAAAAGACAGAGGCAGTGGGAGATTAAAAAAGCGGGTAAACTGGTGACGGGCAACTGGAGGTGACTGGCAACTGGAGATGGCTGGGCATTTAAAAAAGAGAACCAGCGAAGGGCAGTGTTCCACTTCATATCCCTCAGTGGAGACCCAGCCTCAGCTCTGTGGCCTTGGGGTGGGAGGATCGGTTTGGGGGAGGCCTCCAGGCCCAGAGCGTCCCAGCCACGAGGGCTGGCAGGCTGGCGGTGGACACGCCCGGGGGCGCACGCTCGCTGGCGCGGAGCTTCGAGAGGGCAGAGACGCAGGACGCTGGGCGCGACGCTGGGTGGCGCTGCTGGGCCGTCCCGCGCCAGACCTGTTGCGCCCAGGGCGCAAGTCCGGCAGCTTTAGGGTAGAGGGACGCGCCGATCTCTCCGCGCGCCCCTGCCACCCTGGCCGCTGTATCTCCCTCGGGGAGCCCAAGGCCCCACCTTAACTTGAGGCTCCCATTCGTTTGGCCTTTGCGTTCCTCACCGCAACAGTTCTAGGCGCGTCGGGATGGGCGGGGCGGGAATAAAGTTTTTCCAACCTGGTCTGGGAGAGGGCTGGATGGGGAGGACTCTCCCAGCTCCAGACTACAAGGTGGGCTGGACCGTGCCCCTTCGGCTTCACGGCCGCCTCTGAGGCCCCGCTCTTCGTAGGTGCCAGCATCGGTGCCGACCGGATGGGCTGACCCGCGCACCGCTCCCTCCCACCCTGTTCCCCTTCGCGGTCCCCTCCCCCGCCTCTGGCGCGCACTGGCCCCAGCGTCTCCGGCCCCGCCCGCGCCGGGGTCGCTGCAGTCTCCGTGGTTGCCCCGGGCTCCCTCCCCAGGCGTCCCGGCCTTAATCAAGCCTGGGGAGCGCCTCGGGGGGAGCGCGGGACAGCGAGGGAGGCCAAGGCGGAGGCCCTGGGCGCCCGAGCTCTCCCAACCTGGGAGGCGGCCCCGATTCCGGGAGCCGGAACGCAGGGGAAGGCAAGGACGGGGCGGCCGACGGAGGGCGGGAGCCGCTCATCAGCCACGCCAGTCACGTCTGGGGCCACCCGGCTGCCTTTTTCTTTCTTTCCCCCTTTGCTTTCTCCCCTCTCTCGGGTTGGCGAGGGCAAAGTGGCCGTGGCGGCGCCATGCCCGGGCCGGAGTGAGTGCGCGCGGGCGAAAATGGCGTACATTCAGGTAGGGCTGAGGCCGGGGGGCCAGGTCCGCGGTGTGGGTGAGGGGTGCCGCGCCCCCTGCGACTGTGAGCGCGCGGGAGGGAGGGCAGACGGCTGCGCTGCCACAAACTTGCCTGGAGAAAAAGGGTGTCTGAGCGCAGGCTACCTGTGCAGCAGTGGGGGGTGCGCCCCAGGAGAAGAGGCTGGGGACCCCCGCACCGCGTGACGAAAGGCCCTAAGCGGACTCTTCACGCGCGCCCTCACCTCCTGGGGAAGGAATGGGGGTGGGGCGGACTTTTCTTCTCCCTTCCCCCACCTCCTCCCTCGTGCACCCTCCCCAGGGGAGGGGCCGCGGGCAGGGCGGTCCGGGGCGCGCCAGCCGCCCGGCCCGCCAGCTGCCGTTGTCTTGGTGACGGCTCCGGCTAATTGGCCGGCGGAGGGAGCCTGTTCCGGCCAGGAGGGACAAGGACGTCGTCTTTCCCGGGCACTGGGTGTTGAGCGGTGGGGGACACACCAGAGGCGCGCTGGTGGTGTTGGGGGGCAGCCGATTACTTTGGGCCATTGCATTGGGGTCTGGGAGTTGTGGACCACCATCATCTTGGGGACACCCCCCAAGAATCCTTAGGCTGAAATAATTTACAAGCACCTTCTTTAGGGGGCGGTGAGGGGGCGCTGCTTGACTGAAAGACCTTTCTTCTCAATACATGGGGGGGAAGTGGCGACGGGTCAGCGCCAAGGTCATGCAGTCAGACCCGCTGAGCTGCTTGCTTCTGGGGTTGGCTCCTCAGCCTGGCAGAGAAGCCTCCAGGCTCCCACGGTCAGGGTGCATCTGGGCTCACGTCTCCCCTCGGCTACAGCTGGGGTTGCTGCTGGTCCCCTCGTCCCCCTTTGGCTCACGCATCCCCTTGTCATGTCTTTAGGCTTTTCCACCTGCCAGGAGCTCTGCTCTGCCACCTAGGCCATAGCCTTCACATCCCAATCCTTAGATTCGCTCCATTGACTTCTCTCTCATGGAATCCCTAGGTCATCTTTTCAAGTTCAATGAAGGTCACATTTACTGTTCACCTACTGTGTGGATGTTGTCGGGCGGGGCGGTGTTCGACAGTTGCTCAAGAGACACTTGGCTAATCACCTACTATGTATGGGCAGTGGGGACACAGCTGAGAAAGCAGCAGGTCCCTGCCCCTCAGAATGCACAGTGCAGTGAGAAAGAAACAACGCTTCTACGGGTCTTAATGACTGCCTTCAAGCACAGAGTAATTAAGTGACTTGCCCAAGGCCATACAGGTGCTTAGGGGTCGTGGTGAGGCCTAAAAGGGGGGCTGGTGGGGATCGGTGGGGGATTTGTTAAGCATCTGGTATGAGGATGGCCCGGTGATGTTGACTTTCCTCCTAGAACAAGGTGTTAAACTTTTTCTGTAAAGGGCTAGATAGTAAATACTTCTTTTTTCTTGGAGGGCTTCATGGTCTGTGTCACAACCTCTTGACTCTGGCACGACTAAACAGCCATAGACAGTAGTAAATTAATGGGCATGGCTATGTCTAAATAAAAGTCTGTGGACACTGAAACTGAATTTCATATACTTTGTATGAGTCAAGAAGTATTAATCTTTAAATTTCTTTTTCAACCAAATAAAAATATACAAACCATTCTTAGCTGGAGGGCCATGGAAAAACAGGCTGCAGGCTGGATTTGGTCTGCTAGCCATAGCTTGCACCCCCTGTTCTAGAATATCTGAGTTCTCCTCCTTCCTCCTTTTTTTCCTGGCTCGAATCAGTTCTCCTCCATTGGGTCAAACACATGAAACCGAGCCTCAAAGACTTGGCATTCCTGGGAGCCTCAGAGCATCTCCCCTTTCCTCTTTCTTCATTTTCCTTGTTTCTCTTTGCTGCCCTGACAGTCACCTTGCACCTGGGCCTTGAGAAAGCTGCGTGGTTGTACCTCATTGGGGCCCCTGAGGTGGCCTTGCCTCTGTTCATCATGGTTTTAGAAATGGTTCTGTTTGGATCACTACATACCCAAGAAACACTTCCCTGTGAGCCTGGCTTGTTGTGAAAAAGCATCACTTTATCCTTGCACTTTACCGTAAGCATTTTAAAGCACTTTCTCATGTAAGCCCCACGAGGGCATAGCTGTTTGCTGCATTGTTCACCTCACCGCTGTATTGGCCAGAACAGTCCCCGGTGCCTAGCAGGTTCCAACTGGACTTGACAAACCGTCTGGTTCTCATAAGCCACAGAAGGGGTTCAGATATTGTGCAGCTGGGCAGGACAAAGCATTTTCATAGTGTCCTAGCTTAGCCCTTCCACTAAAGAGAAGAGGTTAACTGAGGCTCAGAGTGCCCCCCCACCACCACTCCTACTTGCCCAAGTCACATGATTGGCCACTGGTGAGGCCAGGACTAGCGCTTCTTCACTCAGTTTCATACCCTTCTCCTCACCCGCCTCAGTGTGATTAGTGCCGAAGACTTCGTTTCCCAAGCTGCAGTAAATCGCTTATCACTTCAAGGATTTTGAGTTTTTCATGAGCTGCGAACCACCTGTGCTGTTATTCACTTAATTTTTTTTCTATAAATGGACTTGCACTTTATTTTAACTTTAAAATATAGTATGAAAAGGAAACTTTATGTCATTACCATAATAGAAAACCAGGGTCACGTGATATAAACAGAAGGCAACAGGAAAAATAAACACCATGAGAATAATGCCACATTCTCGGATTCTAGATGGGTAGGCTGTCTCCAAGGCTCTGAGCTGGGGTCTGCTCTCTGTTTAAAAAGGAAGGTGGGGATGGGATTTGCAACTGTTAGAAAAATGTCACATACAATGGTACCAAATTAAGACTTTCTCCTCCTTGCAAGAGAATTGAAAAAGACAGTTAACTTTCTCCCTCTTGACTCAAAGTTCTGAGTTCTATGGGAGACTCCTCCTAACCTACCTGGTTTACTTGGCCTGTTTGGAAAGCCATTAAGACTCTCTCCCGGAAGGGGGTGGTGGGAGCCTGTGCCTTGGGAACCGGAGAGAAGAAACTGGGGTGGAGGTGGGGCTGAAGAAGGGAGGGGCTCCCTCCCTTCTTCCCGAGGACCAGACTATGGCTTTCTTTTCTTTGGCTCCCTCTGTTTGTGGGTGGTCATGTGAAGCTCCCCACCATTGGAGCAGAATTGGAAGGTAGGGCCTCGGGGAGGGCGGGGGAGCCAAGTCACATCCACGCTGTGCCTGCCTGCATGTTAGCTAATCATGTCCTTTTGGGTTGGCTTCATGGCTATTTCTGTATAGGAAGGTTTGCTCCTCTCCTGAAGTGTGGCTGCATTGGATAGCACGACTATCTATCCACCCGCTCTGATTCATAACAGCATACGGTGCAAATCAAATCGAAATGCTAAAGTTTCCCATTTATTCGGTGTTGGTTAGCCAGGAGGCTACCAGCAACCCTGAAGGTAGCAACACCTTGTTAGGAGGTCAGCTCCCTTCCCAGGATGGTAAGTGGAAAGAAGCAGGGCTTTTTTTTTTTTTTTTTTTTTTTTTGGGTTGCTGGAATATTGCTAAACTGGTCTTGTCTCTCTCTCTCTGTCGCCCCCCTCGCCCTCTGCGCCCCTTGGCTTCACGTGGATCTCTAAAAGGGCAGTTGGAACCTTTAAACGAGGTGAGTTAATTCGGCGATTCGTTTGGTCTGGCTTCTAATCAAGAAATGCTTGCTTGTCATTTTGGAGCCTTATGTGGGGCTGCGGGGATATTGAATATTAAACAGCAACCGGATGTTGATAACGGCACAGTTTCCATCCCCTTCTACGGAAGGGAGATCCCGGTGGAAAGACACTAGTTGATGAGATAAGTTTTCCTTCCCACCCCCTACTTATTGCCATTTGATTATCTCTGTTTACTCTCATGTCATGAGATTATTTTTTTAAAATATTTTTGCTTTGCTTTCAAGAAGACAAAGTAATATTCATTGTGTTTTGAGAACATATTGCATAGCCCTCACGATGTTGACTAAACCACCCCCACGTCAAGAAAGACGTTCACATAAACTGCAAAAGAAAATAACCTGCAGACATTTTGCTCGCTATTAATGGCTCGAGCGGGTTGGTGTTTGCCATATCTTTGTGCCTGCAGTTGGTAAATAGAAATGGAAAACATTTTGTTCTGAGTGATCAGTGGCGGAGACGGACCTCCTGAATGTCGTTATTTCTCATCAGGGATCAGCTGCTTGTAATTTTGGGTGTTTTTCCTCTTTTTCCTCCCCACCCTTTCCACCTCCCCTCTACCCCTCTTCACTACCCACCTCCCCCCATGGCCTCAGGGTTTTCTTTCTAGAATCTCCGATCTGCTGCTCTGCAGATGGACTTGCCGGCACTGCTGTCAGAAGTGCTATGAATCCAGCTGTTGCCAGTCAAGTGAGGATGAAGTTGAAATTCTGGGACCTTTCCCTGCCCAGACTCCTCCCTGGCTGTAAGTAAAACTGCTCCGAACTTCCTGGAAGGCAATCTTAAGACCTTTCTTTTCTCCGTTTCTGCGAGGGGGTTTGGGGCACGGGAAGGAGGATTTGGGGTATGAAAGTGGGAAAGGCTGAGTTTCCATCGACCTCTTAGCTGCTGATGGGATGTGCTCTGTGCCTCGTTGCGTTCGGCAAGCTGGTGAGACCAGCTGGGGGTGGGGCTTCAGTTTAGCTGGTTTCACATCGGGCTTCTGAGATATGAACTGTGTAACGCTAAGCATGTGGGCGCGTTTACTCACGTTGAGTGTCGTTCCAAGCAGAAAAAGAGATCTGTGAGCATCTGTATTCTTCCAGGGATGTCCAAATTCTAAAGGTTTCAATCCAAGTCAGTACGACAAACTGTCCTAGCACCTGGCCCGTGCCTGGCTCATGCTAGATGCTCAAGGAGTATTTGGTGTGGATAGCATGAACAAACAAGTGCCTCTCTGCTGGTTTGAGCAGGAACTTCAGAAACAGGGGAGCAGAAAAGCACCTCCAGTCGCCATCGTGTCCTCCTTCGCTGTTTATATTCTCTCTGGCGTCTTTCGTTTTATTTCCAATTCGTTTTCCTCCCGCGCCCGCATACAACATCTCCATCTGCCAGTCGCTCAGATATTTTGGGAACGCAGTTTTGAAGCTTCTCAGCCACGTGTCTGGTCCACCTCTCTGTGGCTGGGAGAGGAATGTGGCCGGAGAGTCTGGGTTGAGTCTAGAGGGCCAGGGCCTGGGAATCGTCAAGTGTCACTTCTCATGATACAGAGGGGAGGCTCAGAGAGTTGAGAAGACAGTGTGAGGGCCCACAGCTGGAGCCTCAGTGGGGATCCAGTGCTGTCTCAGCTAAACCCTTGGGCTAACATTCCAGAAGCCTCTGGCGCCCCATCTTTCCCTCCAAGTTGGGGGTCATGCCTCAGTCCTCTTATTTTCTTAGAAGCAAGTATCACATATTTCCATAGCCAAATGGCTCTGTGTCAGGCTCTGTGAGTTCAAATCCTGTTTCTCCTACTTTTTTCTAGTTCTGTTCCCTTGGACAAGTTGCTTGATCACTCTGTGCCTTGATTTCCCATCTGTCAAATGGGGATGATAAAAAGAATAGTATTTATCTTATAGGGTGGTTGTGGTGATTGCATGAATTAGTGTATGGAAAAGTACCTGAGGCTGCTTGATACCTTGTTGGTAATCATAGACGTTAAGTGATTCTTTTTACCCTATTCTGGGTTTCCCCATCTGTAAAGTAGGACAAGTAATAGAACTTACTTTATAGGGTCGCTGTTAAGCGTAATGAGAGATGCACGTAACGTGCTGAGCACAGTCGTAAGTATTCATCTCTATTATTATTAGGTATAGATAGAGATTCTTTCAACTGATAGAGATAATGTTAAGGAACTTCCCATTACTCACAGGTTGTAGCTTGAATCCTGCAGGTGTGCATAGAGTTGAGATGTTTGGTGAAACCAACTCGTTAATCAAGGGATCATTCCCATTTTCCAGTGACAGAGGTTGGCTCAGCCCATCTGGTGTCTTTAAAGCCACGCTCAGAAGAACTCCAGCTCTGCTGTGGCAGGGCTATCTTGTTCATTCCAAAAAATGGCCGTTGACCAGCTGACTAACCTGCAGGCAGAAATCGAGTCCTGAAAGTGGCAGTCATGCCATTGAAAAGTTAGTCTCAGTTTCTTTGGTAGTTTTTCTCTTGAGGTTGCCCTACAAGGCTAGATAGAGTCCTGTTCCCATGCTCAGGGCATTTAAACTCTAGTATAGGAGATACAGCAGGTGTATGAGTTCAGTTTGTGTATTCACACCCTGCACACCCGAACGACGGTCTTGCATAGAGTTTTGTTATGGAAAA